ACAGCACAAACTCAGCCAAGAGCGCACACCAGTATCATCCTATCATAAAAATAATTAAGACTAAATGTATCTAAACATGCCTAGGTTATTTGTTTAGTCATATTGGTGGCTAGAAAAAGAGCTAATCAAAACAGTTCTGAACAATTATGTCAACACTCCTTTAAAAGGGGCTCATGAAGGCTAGGGAGCTAACTTAGTTGGTAGAGTGCTCCCCTTGTGTGCACCGTCTTCAGACCCTACCTTTAAAAAGCCAATCACTAGGCTCAGCAGTTTATAGAGCACAGTTCACTCTTGCAGAGGGCCCGCGTACAATTCCTATCACACATGTGGTGGTTCTCAGCAAATGGGAACGCCGGTTCTAGGGGGTATGGTGCCCTCTTTGGCCTTTGCAAGCACGGGGCACGCTGTTATGAGGTTACAATCCCAGTGCTGGGGAGGCAGACACTGGTGGATCTGAGGTTCACTGCCAAGTAGTCTAGCCTATGAGAGAACTTGTCTCAAACAAAACAAAACCCAAAATCTCACACAGTGGGTGGAAGCAAGGAAGCGAACCTGAGATTGCCATCTTATCCTTGCCTCCAACACACACACACACACACACACACACACACACACACACACACACGCGTACACACACACACGCGTACACACACCATGTAATGAAAAACAAATTAATCAAAAATTCTTTCTGGTGACTTATGCTCATGCCAGTCTTCCATGTAGACACTCATAGGGAATGAAAACTCTTTCCAATTTCTTATCAGCCCTTCTCAGGTCCCACCTTACCTGGACTGTGTGTTTCCTTGCCCTCCAGAGCCTCCAAGTTCAGCTCAGGGATATCTCCACTGGGTCTCCCATATTGTCACTTCTTTTCCGATTTTATGGGTAGGATTTAAAGTGTATGTTTTAAAGTCATTACCAAAGTCAATGTCAAGTTTAAAGAGCATTTAACTTTAAAAGTCTAATGTATATAACATGGCCTCTGGTTAGTCCTTCCTGCTGGAGTACGTGGTCATGCCAATAGCGGGAATCAGCCTTTTGTCTAAGATTCTAGCTCAGCACCATTAGAAAAACAGAGTCAGAGACATCCCAAGATGATGTAGAGAGAAGAATCTGACTTTCCATCGATACCATCACTTTGTTATATACACAACAAGCTCACAGCCCCTCTGTTTATCCTGGAAATACTTTGATTATAAGGTACAGTTAATTTCTGTGCTTGAAATATGAGTCAAAGGGTTGGGATGTAGCTGAGTTGCTAGAGTGCTTGCTTGACACACACACAGAGACTTGAATTATCTTGAGTATTACATAAAAATGGCTATGTTGGCACATACATCTAATCCCAAAGCTTAGGACACGAAGACAGGAGAGTCAGAAGTTCAAGATCATCCTTGTCTGTCTACATAGTGAATTTGAAGCCAGTCTGGGCTCCATGAGACTATTAAAATATAGTCAAATAATAAGTAAAACAAGTATCAACACATGACTTTCACTTGAAATGTATCGTTAAGATAATCTAGCCCCAGTAGGACCTCCTACTCATGAGGCGTTTTTCTGGTAGATGCTCTGGGTGGAAAAAAACACCAGCTGGCATGGCTCAGAGGGCCTTCCCTGTCTGTTTCATTTGGTTCTTTTGAGAAAGGGTCTTGCTGTGTAGCCCAGACTGGCCTGGAACTCATGGTCCTTTTGTCCTAGCCTCCTGTGTACTAGCTAATAGCTGTGCACTGCCTTGCCTGGCCATACTTGTTTTCTTTCCCATGCAAACATAAAAGTTTGAAGAAACATAAAGGAAAGATTCCAAACAGCAGCCTGCTTTGTGCTTATAGGAAAAACAAGCTCTCTAAAAGCAGAAGCAGTGGCCTGTGTTTGTCACTGAGGGAGGCAGAAAAAAAATCTTGAGGCATTTATAACTCCATCTACTAATTTAGAAAAGATGGCTTTCTCCATTATTCAAGAGAGGTCATCCTGTCTGACAGTGGGTATGTTTTTAGTCAAAACCCGGGGACAAAGTTGGACCATTTCGATTCATGCTTACTCTTCTGAGACACTGTCCCTACCTGTTACTAATTTCTAACTCTTGACACCCTAAAGCCACTCTGCATATTTAGTGGTTAGAAAGGTGATTTCTGAGGCCTGGCAGCTGTTGGTGTTACCGCTATTGTGCAGGAAACAAAAGCCATTCTGCCTGCCTTTGTATCTGCGATACTGGAGCTGTTTCATGAATGATGTCTAATTCTCTACCAGGGAATTTCATTACTGCCCATAGTTCAGCGATCGTTTACACTTCCCACAGTGGAAGAGAGTATCTGAGCCTACCTGCTAATGGGAGGAAGCTTGGCTCTGTTAAGATACTTGTGTTTTAAGTCTGTTAATTGGACCTGCAGTGAGATGCTGTTATAATAACTTTCATATTTCCAACCTTTCCTACTCTGAACCACAAAAGCCAGGACTGGCTAAGTGGACTCCAGAGTCTGCTTGTCTCGGATGGACAGACAGACAAAGCTGATCAGGAAACTACATGATGGAGACAGCTGTAGCTGAATCCGATCTAGATCAACTCACTTGCCAACCCATAGTTTTATGAGTGAGAATAAGCAACAGTTTTAAGCTAGTGTATTTTGGAATGGTTTGTTACTAAGCACTATAGTGATAATGTGTGGCTGATACTCACTGCTTATGTTACTGAAGAATCCAAAGGTAAATATGGGCTTTGGGAAGTTGGAGAACGTAATTTCTCTTGTAGTTCTCTGTGGTTCTTTTGGAGTCCCAACCCGGGATGCTGTCCTTTATGATGACTTTGCCATTTCAGGCTTCCTATCTGCATCTTGTGCTGTTTAGGAAGCAGGAAGGCATGGGCTTCACTCTGATTGGGCTAACCCAGGTCACATGTTCATGCTGGGCCAATTGTAGAGCTGGGGTTAAGGTTTTATGATTCGTCCCTTAGTTCCCTTCTTCAGATGGATGTGGGCCCCCGTCTCTTCCAGAATCCATGCTGGCAATTCGAAGGTAGGGGCAGGGAACAAAACATGCTAAGAGATTTAACAGTATTAATTATGGAGGGTCTAGATGCTTCCAACTTTGTTTAAAATCCCTTTAAGTATTTTTTTTTTTTCTTCCTGCATATTGCTAGGGTGTCTAGAACTTCACAGAGGGGTTATCCCCATCTTGGATGTTACTTGGTGAATTGTGGTGATATTTTATTTATGACCTAACAAATAAACCTTCCCTGAAGGTCAATTATGCAGGGCAAAGCCACTAGTTAGCCACACATCTAAGCTACTAGTTAGCCATAAAGGTCAGGCAGTGGTGGCTACACCTTTAATCCCAGAACTCTGGAGACAGAGGCAGATGGATCTCTGTGAGTTCAAGGCCACCCTGGGCTATGTCAGAGTGAGTCAATCTAAAGGAAAACAGAGCTCACACCTTTGATCCCAGCACTTGGGATGACGTGCTTTTAATCCCAGCATTAAAGAGGAATATAATGCAGGAGCTTAGTGCAGGGCAGTCTGAAGTTTGGTGGAGAGCATTGCAGTCTGCAGTCACTCTGAGGACAGGACAGTCCCTCTTTGGTCTTAGTCTTGGTAGAGGTAAGAACTCTCTAGTGGCTGGGCTGCTTTGCTTTCCTGATCTTCAGCTTCAAGCCCAATATCTGTCTCTGAGTTTTTATTTTTAAGACCAATTATTATTCATGCTACAGTGAATGGCAAAGCTTGTGGACATGGGTACCCAAGGCACTGAAGGGTGAATAGGATCACAGTTTAAAGTAGCACTCTCCCATCAGCTTACTGGACTTCCAACTCTTAAGGGAGCAAGATTTTGAGAAAATGAAAAGTGGATTTCATCTGCTAGGCTGTGAGCGTTCTGATCCAGAGAATAAGTTACAGCTGATTTAATATTGACATGGTCATTCTACTGACTCTGGCCTCCACTATTTCTAATGCAAAGTCTGTGACAATTATAATCCTCTGGACACAGAGTATCACCAAATCACCCAATAAAAGTGTGTGTCAAATTCAAAATAGAACCAGTGACTTTTCTTTCAAAAATGACATCTCCATCTACCAGACACACACTCTTTCTCTGTAAGGCCTTTGTTTGTTATCATCCAGCCTTTTCAGGATAAATCAACCAAGCAACTTAATCAGGATCACTTTTGCGGACATGAGTTTTCATGGTACCATAGCTATGGTCTGTGCTTCTTAGAGTCTGATACTGAGGCTCCGAGAGACTGAACAGTACTTAGCATCCAACGAATTTTTGTCATCCAGCGAATGCTTATCATTCAACAAATATGGTCAAGGATCTGCTGACTGTGTTAAATGATGTGAAAGACAGAGGTGAATAAAATCCTTGGCTTCGGGTAATGTAATTTAATTTCATTCAAAATTTTGGACATAAGGAAAGACAGGAAAGTACAGTTCCCAGGGAATAGCTTGGCTGTCTTAAGAATTGTTTACCTTGCCATCTATGATCACTAAGAGCTGTGGGTCTTAATGAAATAATTGCTGTGGGTCTTAATGAAATAATTGCCATAAGACAGAAACACCCGGACATTAAGCAAATTGCTATATTGTTACATTTAAAAATATTTATTTATTTGTTTTTAGTGTGTGTGTGGGCATGCATGCATGTGCACCTGTGTGAGTTAAGTGGACTACATGCATGCAGGTTCCTGTGGAGGCCAGAAGGCATCTGGCACCCTGGAACTGGAGGTAGAGTTGGTTGTGACTCACCAGATGTCGATGCTGAGAACTGAACCCAGGTCCTCTGGAAGAGCAGCAAGTGCTCTGTGCCACTCAGCCATTCCCTCAGCACCAAGTTTATTTCCTAAAAACTCCTACTGTCCACTTTTCTGTGGCCATTGCACAGCCATTATTGGGTTTGATTTTCTGCAAAGGGTTGACTTAGTAGTAGCTTAATTGCTCATCTGGGGCTCTGATTCAAGTACATTTTCATCAAGTTTTTTCTTTCTTTTCTTTCTCTTTGTTTTCCTGCAGTTAAGTTATGCCTTAAACCATACAAACAGAAAACTGACGTTAGAACCAAAGGTCACTGTCAATGCCAGAATCGTTGTGGTTGGTGCATCCAGTGTTGGCATTTCATTCCTAGAGACATTGGTGTTTTGGTGAGTTCTCTCGTTCTATTTAGTCATTTATCCATTTATTTTCAAGAGATCAATTTTTTCTTGTACCTTGTATGTGTTTTTAAGTTATGTGTTTGTGTGTGCCTGTGTGAGTTTATGTGGACCACATGCATGCAGGTTCCCATGGAGACCAGAAGGCATCTGGTTCCCTAGAACTGGAGGTAGAGTTGGTTGTGACTCACCAGATGTCAATGCTGAGAACTGAACCTGGGTCCTCTGGAAGAGCAGCAAGTACTCTGTGCCACTCAGCCATTCCCTCAGCACCAAGTTCATTTCCTAAAAACACCTACATGTCCACTTTTCTGTGGCCATTGCAGGCCATTACTGGGCTTGATTTCCCAAAGCCTTGTGATGGTTCAAACATGGGGGACTCTCTCCCCACTTGAGAAAACAGTGCTTTGTTTGCCAACCCATTACATAGCTGTGCGGGATTCATGAATCGGTGGAACATTCTAGATGAGGGACAGAGTAGGACAAATTATTTGCCAGTAAACTCATTGGATCACAGCTATATTCACTTTCATGTCTTCTTTGCAAGTGTTGTTGTGCTTCATCTACAAAGTTGAGTATCTCAGCAAAGATTGTGAGGTGAGGCCTACAATATATAAAATCAGTACCTACAACCCCTTCCCAAAAGCCTCTGCTGGTCGTCTTATACATGTGTTTATGTTACCAAGGCCATCATGAGAATCACATCAAGTCTTTGGTCAGGATTTAGATTCCTAAAGCCCACATCAGGCAGGCAGAATAGAAAGCTCCAAAATGGGTTGAGGTGTGAATCTGAGATTCTATAATGTAACTGGTACATCATATACTCATAGTTTGTCTGCCCTCGGGTAGATCTTGCTGGCCTCATACTCATATAGGTCTGCCTGCCTCTGTCTCTCAAGTGCTGGTACTAAAGGTGTGCACCACCATACCCAACAAATATGTATTACATTTATTTATTGTTTATGTAAAAGCTGGAGCATGCCAAAATATGTGTGTGTAGCAGGCTTTCTTTTGGGCCACCAACCAGTTCCCAAATCATGTCACGGAGATTTATCATTAGTTATGAATGCTCGGCCTTATTTTATGTTTGGTCCACTAGCTCTTATCACTTAAATTAACCGGTTTCTCTTCACCTGCATTTTTCTTTCATTCTGTATGCCCTGTTCCGGGTCTAGCTGGCTGAAAGCTGCCTGGCTGGCTGACCCTGGGCATCTCCCTTCTTACTCAAGTACCTCATTCTCTTCTCATTCTTTCATGTCTTGAGCCTAGATTCCTCTTTCTACTTTATTATCTCTGCCCGCCAGGCCTGCCTATCCCTCTACTGATTAGCTATTGGATGTTCAGCTTTTTATTAGACCAGTCAGGTACCTTAGGTGGGCAAAGCAACACATCTTTACATTTACATCATTAAATAAATGCAGCATAAAACAAATGTAACACATCTTTGCATTATTAAACAAGTGCAGCAGAAACAAATGCAACACACTTTTACATGGGTTGAGGTCACAGGAGAACTTCATGGAGTTGGTTCTCTCTGTCTATCATGTGGGTCCCAGGTACCTAAACTCAGATCATCAGCCTTGGGCAGCAGGCACCCCAGTCCTGGGAGCTAGTTTTGATTATGCATCAAAGATAGGTATTTAGAAATGGCATAGCAATCAGAACTTATCTTCCAGCCTCATGCCAGACATTAGGGCACAACCCTTGGGGAAAGGCAGGTTTGTGTGGCTTCCCATTCTGTTCTCTCAGTCGCTACCCTTTAGAGCCCATTTCCACATGGGCAGTTCCTAAGGACTCCCAGTTTCCCCAATCTCTCCCTATCTTCCTGCTCACTGAATCTCCAAAGAGAGAAACCAACAGCGCCACTGTGCCTACTAACTCTTCCTCATTTACTCTTAGAAAGGTATCTAGGGTTTTGTTTGGTTGGCTAGGTTGTTTGTTCTGATTTTCTTTGGTTGAAAGTAGAACTTTTTCATACAATATATTCTGATTATAGCCCCTCCCACAACTCCTCTGAGATCCTTTCCTCCTCCCTTTCCATCCAAATCAAAACCTTTCCATCTCTCATTAGGCAACAGGCAGACATCTAAACAACAATAATAAAATAAGACATAAGCAAAACTTAACAGGACAAAACAAACAAGAAAAAGAGCCAAATAAAAAGCACAAGAAAAATGTATAGATGCATGTATACACACACACACACACACACACACACACACACACACACACACACACACCTACCTCACAGGAATCCCATGAAAACAAAAAACTGGAAGCCATAATATATGCTCCAAGGACCTGTATGTCAGTTCTGTTGAGATTAGATGGACTTTTTCCCTATTCCCTTCTGCAGTTTCCTGAGGCCTGAGGGGAGGAATTTGATGGAGACATCCCTTTTAGGGCTGAGTATGCCAAGATCTCTCACTCTCTGCATATTATCTGGCTGTGGGGCTCCATACTTGTTCCCATCTGCTGTGGGAAGAAGCAGCGATGGACATGGTTGAGTGAGTGTCTCAGTAGTAGGATGAGGCACACTTTGGATAGATGCTCAAATGTGGTATAGCTGGATCTTGAGGTTTATTGATTCCCATCTCTCTGAGGAACTGCCACAGGGATTCTATACTGGCTGCACAAGTTTGCACTCCCAACAGCAATGGATGAGTGTTCCCCTACTCCACATCCCCACCAGCATGGGTTTTTAACAATAGTTTACCGTTCAAGGTATGGAAGGTATGGTGATTTGAATAGGAGTTGTCCCCATAGGCTCAAGTAATTGAATCCTTGGTCATTAGGGAGTGATGATACTTGAGAGGGATTAGGAGGTGTGGCCTTGTTAGAGGAAGTTTGTCACTGAGGGTGGGGTTTGGGGTTTCAAAAGCTCAACCAGTCCCAGAGTCTCTCTCTTCTTGCTGCCTGAAGATCCAGATGTAGACCTCTCAGCTACCATATCTGCCCACATGCTTCCATGTTCCCCACCATGATGATAATTGACTAAATCTCTGAAACTTTAAGCAAGCCCCAAGTCAATGCTTTATTTTATGAATTGCCATGGTGTCTCTTCACGGCAATAGAATCCCATCATGGTCTGAGCCCTACAACATGATAAAATGGGATTTATTTCTGCCAACTGGCACAAGTACCAGAGAAATCATTGTTCTTATTTTATTTGTTTGTCTTTAGACAAAGTCTCACTGTGTAGTCCTGGCTGGCCTGGAATTCTACCAAGCAAACCAGCCTTTCCTGCATCTTCCTCCCAAGTGCTGGGGTCAGCAGTGTGTACCACACTACCCAGGTCTATCAGATATTTGTAAAGAACCCGAGTTTAAAAGCCACAGAGATCTGAATGGAAAGAGACCTTTTTCCCCCTAGACCATTTGTTTGTGGTCACATGAAAAACTCTAGCTATTGTTTATAGTTGTGGATGCTCTAAGGCCAGAGGGAGACAGGAAAATCCAACTCACTGTAACTCCTCTTAAAGCTAACAGTTAGCAGCCCCAAAGGATGTGTGGGGTTTCAGGGAAGTTAGCTGATGACGCCACCACTGCCATGCCCCAACAAATGCTCATGCCTGACGATCAGGAAGATAAGCCAACACCAGTGAGTGATTTGCTCATCTGTTGGCACATTAACCCTAAAAAGGAAAGAGCCAGTCTATTGTTTAACTTTCCAGATAGCTTGTTTTGATGCTTCAGAACTTAACCTCAGTTAACCAGAGCACATTGTGCATTGTTACTGAAGTTCACAACGGAGTTAAAATGTTTCAAGCCTCTTGGTCACTTAGTATTTCATGGCAGGAAGGAAGTCTCGAGGAAAACTGAACATTTACTTCCCTGTGGATGCTGCACTACAGCTGGGGTGTTTGACTCTCCTGCTTGGTCCCTGCTCTTAACACTCTGAGCCACAAGCCTTATTCAGCCCATATCTGAGTGATGAATGAGTGGGCTGGGATTTTGAAATTGGGGAAATCAAGAAATGATTATCAACAGGTCTTAAATCTTAATTTGGCTGTAATATTTATAATGTTCTGCATAGAATGATTACATTAAGATATACACATGTAATTTTCCTTTTATGGAATCGACTTAGATTCAATAAGAACAAATATAAGTCGTGGTGTAAGTGCTGGGTTGATTAAATTCCCCAATCAGAGCCACCCTTTTAAAGCATCCACAATTCTCCATCTTCATTACAGAGATTATGTTCACTGGAAGGAGACTGGTATCAGCTTACAGATCGCTAATCCTTGAGAGAGGAAATAGTTTTCTCATTATTTTCTCTAATTATTTTAAATTAGCAATCACCATAGTAACTTACTGCATATTTCACTTTACTGGTTTAGTTTCCTCTTGAACTAAATTTATACAGTTTGGCCTGCAATGAAATTGAAGACATCTCACCAAACGCTACCTACCCATGAGGATTAAACCCACATTTTAGAAGCAAGATTGGGGCAGGGGTGGACTTTGCCTGGGCTTTTGAGCTGCATTCATAGACTTACCATGTGCTCTTCTGGGAAGTCCACACGAAGAGCAGCACAGGCGTCTCTTCTTCCAGGTCTGGCAGTCCTGCTGTCTCATGATATAACAGACACTCTTTGCTCTCACATTTTTTCCGTGTAAGAAATGGTGACGTACACATCAATTCCTTTCTAGGCAGTCGGTGGGCACTTCCTCTGCCCTTGGTACAGCCATCCTCACCAGTGCTTGGGTGCAGTGAGATAGCTGACGTGGTTTCCTCAGAGTCAGCATCCAGTACATTCCAGGCCATGGGAGCGTTCAGGAGATTAGGAGGTTAGAGCTTTAAAAATAATTTAATGGGTGTTCCCCAGCTTGGCCTCACACTTGTGACAGTCTTTCATCCATCTTCCAACTTGCTGGGATTGGAGGCATATGCCACCACTCCTGTTTGAAGATTCTGTTTGTTTGGTTGGTTGGTTGGTTTTTTTCTTTCTTCCTTCCTTCCTTTTTTTTTTTTTTTTTTTTTTTTTT